ACTTGTAGTACTCATGCACATTGATTTTAGAATCAAAATACCATTTGAAGATGATATTTGGGAGAAAATTATCTACAATTTGGACTTTGGCACATATTAAATGAACAATTATAAGACAAGCTATGTGCCTTGCTTCTAAACAATTTTAAACCATGTAGGTTTGCTCCAATAGTTAAAAATGAAACCGAGCAATCCTACCATAAGATATACCTATTGTATGCATGGCAAATGATTTAAACATGCAAATGCAACCCTAGGCATGAAGAGTAACTAGATGTTTAAATATACCAATTGTAGGAAAATCTAATTGCAAGATGTACCAATTAAAAAGTAATAACATCTAGTTACCTAACATGAGAAGGGGAATTTAGGTCCATAGTATCCACTAACCCACTTGGCAATGACTTTATCCAACATGATGCACCCCATGAAATGCACCCATACTTTGCCAAGACTCCAAATTCCCCGAGGTCTGACGGACTTCTTACTTCCCTTTCGGGATCCAAACCTTCTTGGTGCTCTTCATGTTGGAAATAGTTTCCTTTGGCACCCAAAAGCATTTGATCCCATTGTTGGCTTGCTTGTTCACCTTGATGGCCACCACCTTGTCATTTTTCTTCTTCTTCAAGAGATAAGGTGTGGAGGCCTTCTTGTCCACCTTGTTGGTGTAGGTGTTGGAGAGATTGCTTGTTTGCTTTTTCTCCTTCTTCTTTTCTCCTCCCCCATTCTTCACCTTGCATTCATAGGACTTGTGGCCTTCTTTGTGGCACACGTAGCAAACCACAATTTGTCCTTCATCAAGCTTCTTCACTCCCTTGACGGTGTTATCTTGATGAAGTTGGGTTTGCTTTGCCTTGCCTTTCACTTGAATCAAGTCCTTGGTGAGGCGAGCTACTTCTTGCTTGAGTTGCTCATTTTCTTTTGCAACCTCTTGTGTGCATGTATCTACAATCACTTTCTCAACACAAGCTTGGTTGCACAAAGATGAGTTTAAACATAAATCATTGCAAGAGGTAGATGCATCCTTTTTAATTATGTCATTTCTTTTAGATGCCTTGGTGGGGGTATTTTTGATGGCCTCAAGATTAACAACTTTATTTGTTAGCTCATCACAATGTTTGCACATGATTTCTATTTTAGCAAGCAAACTTTGATAATCATTTTATGAGCTAGCTAACTTTTCTTTTAATTTTTCATTTTTCTTTTCAAGTTGCTTATCATTAATTGTGCATGCACTTGTTGTTGCACTAGCCTCAAGTTGCTCAATTTTAGTAGATAGTTCAACATTGAGATTTGCAAAGTTTTCATATTGTTTAAGCAAATTCTTGTATGCTTCTTGTGAACTACCTAGCTCTTCTTTTAAAGTTTTGATCTTCTTTTGTTGACTAGTGCAAACTTTAGCATATTTAAGATTTTGTTGCACAATTATATTGTAAGAAGGCAAATCATCATCACTATCACTCTCACTAGAGGATGAGCTTTCGTTACCTCGTACCATAAGGCACACACGAGAAGAGCTTGATGATGAGTGTTTGCGCCCTCGTCTCTTGTGATGGTCTTCTTCACTTGAAGAATTATCCCATGATTTTATTGATGTGAGGGCTTTGTTCTTGCATGCCTTCTTCTTTGTCTTGGGTGTGGGCTTGTTTGGACAAACTTCCACAAAGTGCCCCACCTCGCCACATCCATAGCATCTTCTCTTTCTTTGCTCGTTTCTTTGATTGGTGAAAATAAGGTCTTGGATTTGTATGGGCACACCCTTGACATTGAGCTTTTGGATCATCTTCTCCACCTTGTTGATAAGTTTGATTGATTCTTCATCAAAGTCGAAGGTGGAGGAGGAAGATTGATCATCACTTGATTCTTCTTCTTCTTCATCATCATCATCATCCTCATCTTCATCTTCACTTGAGGAACTTGAGCTTGAGCTTGTCTCAACTTTCTTGCCCTTCATCTTCTTTTTCTCGCTACATGCGAGAGCTTTGCCTTTGCTCGATGAAGAGGCTTCTTCTTGACCCATCTTGCATGACATTTCAAATGCCACTATCTTGCCAATGACAATGCCCGGGGTCATGGTGCTCAAGTCCTCCATATTGTGAAGGATGGTGATAATGCTTGAATATTTCTTTTGTGGTAGCACGGAGATGATCTTCCTCACGATGTCCGCATCATCTAGCTTTAATAATCCTATAGAGTGGAGCTCATTGATAATTAGATTCAATCGAGAATACATATCACGAACAAGCTCATCTTCATTTATTGTAAAGAAATCATAATTTTGCTTAGCTAGACAATGTTTTTGCTCACGGACATTACTTGTGCCGTCATGGAGCTCTTGGAGTTTTAACCAAATTTCATGTGCCGTATTTAAGGTGAACACTTGGTTAAACACATCCATGCTAAATGATTCAAACAAGCAATTCTTAGCTCTAGCATTAAAATGCATTTCTTTTTCATCACTCTTTGTGGGTTTTTCGGGATTCTTGATGGGTTTCATCCCGTCATGAGTGACTCTCCATACACCCAAATCAACCGCCTCAAGGTGGCAAGCCATTCTAGCTTTATAGTATGGGAAGTTAGTGCCGTCAAATTGTGGAGGCCTAGTGGTATCCATCCCAACCACTCTACAAAAGCGTCGGCTCAACGGCGGTTAAGCCAAAGGTCCAAATATGAGCCAACTGGCTCTGATACCACTTGTAGGACACGTGGACGCCTAAGAGGGGGGGGTGAATTAGGCAACTTAAAAATCTAACTCACGACTATGGCCTCTTTTTCTACTTCTAGCAAAACATATGCAAAAGATAATCTATCTAGATGTGCAACTACGGTTTCGCTAGTGTGTTGCTATCTCTACCGCAGATGATAATAATATGATCAATGTAAATGCGGAAGCTTAAAAAGCAAGGTAGAGATATGCAAACTCCCATCGACGACTCCGGTATTTTTACCGAGGTATCGAGAAGCGCGCAAGCTTCCCCCTAGTCCTCGTTGGAGCCCCTCGCAAGGAATCCCTCGCAAGGGCCAAGCTCCCGGTCGGGTAACTCCGTGGATAGCCTCGGGCCTTCCCCACGCGCAAGTGGGTCTCCGATGTGCCTTCCGGCAAGCCTCTCCCGGATGCTCCCCGCCGTCTTCACTATCAAGCTTTCGGCCGAAACGCCGCGGGCCTTGTTCCCTTCGGTACACGGTGGCGGCCGCACCACAAACGCGGTTGGTGCGATCTCGCAAGACTTCAAGCCCCTCCGATGTACAACCCTTGTGCTCGCAAGCACGGGGTGGCAAGAGGTATGCAAACCTCACTAAACACTAGGCATATACCTAGAGCAAGCGCATAAGCGGTGGTCTAATCAACCTAAGCACTTCGCAAAGCACCCACGCTAATCACCTGATGCAACACTAAGCACTTAGCAAGTGGAGATCACTAAAATGGTGTATCAACACCCTTGGTATGTTTCCTCAGCTCCACACTACTCAAATGGCCGGTTGGGGGTTGTATTTATAAGCCCCACCGAGAAAGTAGCCGTTGGGGTCGAACTCCCGCAATTCTGCTACTAACCGGACGCTGAGATCGTCCTGACCGGACGCGTCCGGTCGTCCCGACCGTTGTAGCCGCGAACTACCGATCGGACGCTGCCCGTTCCGTCGCTTCGCCACGGACGCGTCCGGTCGCGATTCAGCAGCGCTGGAACCTCTCTCAGACTCGATCGGACGCTGCGTTCCTGCGTCCGGTCGGTTGCCGCCAGCGTCCGGTCCTTGCGTCCGGTTGCCTGTCTGCCGAGCCACCGGTCCAGCGTCCGGTCGCGCTTCCAGCGTCCGGTCGCCTCTGTGAGCTCGTTTCTTCGCGATCTTGCGCACGGCTTGGTTCCTATCTTCATGTTTGGACTTTGCTTGACATCTTGGGTCTTTTCTTGTGCTTCTAAGGTCTTGCTTGAGGTGTTGATCATCAGATCATCACGTCGCCTTCGTCCAAGTCACGTCTTGCACCCTATTGGACTACAAAACAAACACTTGCAAATTCATTAGTCCAATTTGGTTGTGTTGGTCATCAAACACCAAAATCCAAAGTAAATGGGCCAAGGGTCCATTTTCCTTACACCTTCGACGACTGACCATAATTGACAGCGAACTTCCCACTGTGGTGAGTGTCAGAAGTGCTTTGTTTTACTTCATGTAATCCTGTTTTTAGAACGTTTGCTATTTTAGTTCAGTTAGACATGTAGAATCCTAGGTGGTTCGAGAGATGTGCGTGAACCACGCCGAGACGCGTATCTTGGTGTGGCCCCGTCGCGGCGTCATCCGTGCATGTCCCTCCGGCGTTCCGGAAATAACGAAGCGTCGAGGAGGCGTCGAGCGACGGGGGGCAAGGCCTTGGGCCTATATAAACTGAACGAAAACATAAGGCATGGTTACGCCGTGTTTGGGCAAATTGATCTCGTTGTCATTATTTCCATCTTCTCGGTTCACGCTCTAGGGTTTTAGTCGCCGCGAACGCCACCGGTGTCGGTGTCGCGCCGTCGCCGAGCTCGATCCTAGGAGCTCGGTTCAACATCCGGTATCGGAGCCATATAGGTTTCAGCGGATCACGTCCACGAACGTGCAAGGAGAAGACGAGAAGGAGGAGATGACGAAAGCGAGAGAGTTCTAAGTCAAGCGGCGGCGTCAAGGAAAGCTCGCTGGTTTGGCGATGCTAACTCGAACAAATTATGTCGAGTGGGCTATGTTGATGCAAATCAACTATGAGGCGTTGGAGATCCGGGAGACAATTGATCCCGGAACTGATGTCAAGAGGTCGAGGATTGGCAAGCCATGAGCGGGTTGATGAGATCCGTTCCCGAAGAGATGCGGCGGCGCTCGCTTAGCCAAGCGCGAGCGGTACATGAGGCCTGGAATCGTGAAGACGTTGAGGGTTGGAGCAGATCGTGTGAAGGAGATCGGTGTCGAAACTCCTAAAATAATTCGAGAACGTCGAGTTCAAAGAAGGAGAAAGCGTGGAGGACTTCGGCATGCGAATCGTGAACCTCGTCGTCACGTTGAAAACTCTTGGTGAGACCATCGACGATCCTCGTGTTGTCAAGAAAATATTGCGTGTGTTGCCACCCAAATTCAATCAAGTTGCAGTATCCATTGAGATGTTCTGTGACATGAAAACACTGACAGTGGAGGAATTGGTGGGGAGACTGCGCGTTGCTGAAGATCGATTCGAGGAGAAAGTCGAGCAGATCACTGATAAGGCGGGCCGTTTATTGCTTGCCGAGGATGAGTGGCTTGAGAAACACAAGCACCGTTTCCAACCCACTCAAGGTCGTACTGGAGGAAGTAGCAGTGCTGGTGGAGGCAAAGGCAAACAGCCACATCGACACGATGGTGGTGGGTCGAAGGCAGCCGGCAACGTCAAGCTCACCTCAGAAGGCACACCTCGTCGGAAGGGAAGGTGTAGAAATTGTGGCATCTATGGTCACTGGGCTGAGGATTGTAAAAGGCCCAAGAAGCAAAAGAAGGAGGAGAAGCACGAGGAGGCAAACGTCGCTGTGGCAGGTGCTAATCATAATCCAGCACTGTTTCTGTCAGTGGCAAAGGACATCATAGAATTACCTGTAGAGGTCGTTCATCTCACAGAGAAGAAGGTGGTGCCGGTTGATTGCCCAGAAGGTGTTTGGGTGCTAGATACAGGAGCTAGCAACCATATGACAGGATGTCGTGCTGCTCTCACTCATCTGAATGATCGAGTTTGTGGGACTGTAAGGCTGGGTGATGGTTCCAGCATGGAGATACATGGGCTTGGCTCCATGGTCATTCAAGGATGACAGCAGGATCACAAGGTATTAACTGATATTTATTACATTCCAAAGCTTCAGAGTAATATTGTCAGTTTGGGCCAATTGGAGGAAAAGGGGTTTGAGGTGTCATTGAAGAATGGCAGATGCAGTGTTTTTGATCAAGGGGGACATGCATTACTTATCTCAGCTCCTAGAACTGCAAATCATCTCTATATGCATAAGTTCAGTACTGTGTCACCTGTTTGCCTACTGAATAAATTGGATGATGATGCTTGGAAGTGGCATGCAAGGTTTGGGCATCTTAATTTCAGATCCCTCCGGGAGTTAGGAAGGAGAAATATGGTATCTTGCATGCCCACTGTTGATAGGGTCGAGCAGGTGTGTGATGGCTGTACATTAGGAAAACAGCATAGAACTCCCTTCCCAAGTGTCAGTAAGTATCGTGCTATGAGTGGACTTGAGTTGTTTCACTCAGATCTCTGTGGAAAAATCACACCACCAACACCAGGTGGTAAGCATTATTTTTTGCTAGTTGTGGATGATCACGGTAGATATATGTGGATTGAGTTGTTGAAGTCCAAATATGAGGCACTGTCTTATTTCAAGAAGGTGAAGACAAGGGCAGAGACTGAACTTAACAGTAAGCTCAAAGCAATTAGAACTGACAGAGGTGGTGAGTTCAACTCAATTCAGTTCAGTGTATTTTGCATTGAGTATGGCATTAGGCACTTTACCACTACACCTTATACCCCTCAACAAAATGGGGTGGTAGAAAGAAGAAATCAGACTGTAGTGGAGATGGCAAGATGCATGATGAAAAGCAAGCAGATCCTAGCATGCTATTGGGGAGAGGCTGTGGTGACAGCCGCCTATGTTTTGAATAGATCTCCAACAAAAAGTCTAAATGGTGTAACACCATATGAGGCTTGGTATGGCAAGAAGCCTAGAGTTGATCACATGAGAATTTTTGGCTGTGTGGGTCATGTCAAGAAGGTTGGGCTAGGGATTAGTAAACTGTCAGATAGATCCCAGAAAATGATTTTCATTGGCTATGAGGAGGGCACAAAGGGGTACAGGATGCTTGATCCTGTGTCTAGGACATTACACATCAGTAGGGATATTATTTTTGAAGAAAGTCAGTCATGGGATTGGAACATTCAAGGGATGGATCAATTCCAGTCTGAACATTTTGTTGTGGAGTATCCGGTTACTGTTGGTGGTCCGACAACAGAGCAAGCACCCACAGTTTCAGTACCAGACAGTTCGGCTGTCAGTTCCTCTGGGCAAGGTCAGTCCCAATCTTTATCAGATGAGTCTCAAGGACTCTCAAGCCCACATACACCATCATACACTGGGTCTGTTGGGCATGGTGACCAAAATCAGTGGGTAACACCACCTAATGGTCAGTCGGCAGATTCAGAAGGCAATCCACTAAGGTACAGATCATTATCAGAGTTATATGACGACACTGAAGAAATTGAAAATGTTGAGTATAGTGGAGTGTGTCTTCTAGGAGCAGACGAGCCTGCTAGTGTAGAAGAAGCTCTAGAAGAAACTTGCTGGAAAAATGCAATGGAATCAGAACTTCAGTCAATAAGAGACAATAATACTTGGTCTCTGTCAGACTTGCCCAAGGGGCACAGGGCTATTGGACTGAAGTGGGTATTTAAAGTAAAGAAAGATGCTGCTGGGAATGTTGTCAAGCACAAAGCTAGGCTTGTCGCCAAAGGGTATGCACAGAAGCAAGGGGTGGATTATGATGAGGTGTTTGCACCAGTTGCAAGATTAGAAACAGTGAGAATTCTTTTAGCACTTGCAGCACATGGAGACTGGGAGTTACATCATATGGATGTGAAGTCTGCTTTTCTCAATGGAAATCTCCAAGAACAAGTGTATGTACACCAACCACCAGGTTTGGGAGCCTGTCAGGGTGTTTGGCTAAGTCGTCTGATAGCAGACCTGATTGGTGGTGAAGCGCAGAAGTTTAGACTTCTGATCGATAATCAGTCAGCAATCGAGCTAGCAAGAAATCCTGTTTTCCATGAAAGAAGCAAGCACATAGATACTCGGTATCACTACATCAGAGACTGCATTGAGAAGAATCTGGTTGATGTTGAACATGTGGGTACAGATGAGCAGGTTGCTGATATTCTGACGAAGCCTCTCGGAAGGGTCAAGTTCGTGGAGTTCAGACTGAAGCTCGGAGTCGTTCCAGTGACTGAGAAGAATCGATGCTTCGGCGAGCCGCGCCTCCGGCGACCACGCCCATGCCTAGCCGCGCTCCGGCGCCGCGCCCTGGCGAACTGCGACCCCGGAGGCCACGCCCCTGGCTGCCGTGCCCGGCGAGCAGCGCCTCCGGCGGCCACACCCATGGCTGGCGGCGCTCCCATGCCAGCCAAGATGATGCAGTGGCCCACCTGGGAACTCGGCAAGATGGAGGGTGCATCACGTGTGCATGGTCGGCCGCGTCTATGCCGTCATCGTCATCCGTCTCGACTTCGCGTGCCGCACCACCTGCGGCGCCGCCTCACGCACTCTGGCTGGACACTTCGAGGGCCGCAGCCTCAAGAGACGCCAGGACAACAAGCTGCTCTGCAGCTGGCACTCATCTCGGACCAGCGCACGCTCGAGCTCGGCAAGGCCTCCAGCGCTCTGCACAGCAAGGAAGGCGTCATGCTGGAGCTCCCGGCGGAGGGACGGATGGACACTGCAGGCTGGAAATGGCGAGCTGGACATGGACGCGTCATTCGGGGTCCTGCCGGGCCACCATGCTGGCCGCACCATCACGAGCGAGCGCTCTGCTATGCTGTACGTACTCATCATGACCCATCGACTTGTAATGTGCTCATTAGTACTACTTTGTCAGTAGCCAAAGCTTCCAATCAGACCAGGGGACGGGTTGGTGCGGCGGCCGGCCGGCGATCGACAGGGAACGATCTGCCACATGCGGCTGTGCGCGCTCGATTAATTAGGCGGCCGGGTGGTGGGTTAAGCCGTAGCGGCGTGCAGTGCCGGCGCGCGGAGCCCCCGTCCCCATACGTGCGTGCGTTGCTGAGTTAACAGTGGGGCCGGCACGGCGCGTTCCTGTCTCGCGCCCGCCGAGCCGTATCGCTTTCCGGCCGGGCGGCGAGGCCAGCCGGCGGGGGGCACCGGCCGGGACGTACGTGCGCGCGCGCCCACTCCTGCGATGGCGACGCGGCCCGCGAGCGGGGCTGCAGCCCGGGCGGGACAGCCGCGCGGTGCCGCGCCGTGCCCACGGCCCACGGGGAACTCGCCGGTCGCCGCTCGTTGCTCGTGCGCACTTTGACGATCACGCACGTACGTGCTCCGGAAGCCACCATATTACGTGACGGCACGGCGTTGCTAGCCTGTCTCTGTCCGTCGACCGCCATGCTCGCGTACGCTACGCCACCGCGCAATAAGGCCGGCCGTAGAAAAACACTGCATGCGCCACGGCACGGCACACATGCGGGCATAGAGCATGATGATACTGGTGGTGGTGGACGGGCAATGGGATGCTGCGTGACTGTTACCACTGTAACGACGACCAGAGGCTGTTACTGACGTACCTCTACAGCTTGGATTTCGCCAGGGCGCGGCGCCGGGGGTTCTGCCCACGCACAGCAGAGCGCACACGGGCGTGGCTCGCCGAGGGCGCCGTTGCCAGGGCTCGGGCGCCGGGGGCGCGGCTCGCCGGAGCGCCGCCAGCCAGGGGCGCGGCTCGCCGGGCGACGACCGCCAGGAGCACGGCTCGCCGGGGGCGCCATCGCCAGGCTCGGGCGCCGGGTGCGCGGCTCGCCGGAGCGCCGCCAGCCATGGGTGTGGCCGCCGGAGGCGCTGCTCGCCAGGCACGGCAGCCAGGGGCGTGGCCGCCGGGGTCGCAGTTCGCCAGGGCGCGGCGCCGGGGGCGCGGTCACCGGGAGCGCAGCTCGCCGGAGCGCGGCTAGGCATGGGCGTGGCCGCCGGAGGCGCGGCTCGCCGAAGCATCGCCAGCCAGGGGCGCGGCCGCCGGGGTCGCAGTTCGCCAGGGCGCGGCGCCGGGAGAGCGGCTCGTAGGGGTGCCGCCCACTAGGGGCGCGGCTCGCCGGGGTATGGTCTTCTGGGGCGCCGGGACTGGGACCGAAGATCGGCCATCCACCATCGAGCTCGGGCATCGGCCATCTGCAGTAAACTACACAAATGACAGGTTCTGCCCACGCACAGCAGAGCGCACACGGGCGTGGCTACAGTAAAGCACTAAACCCGGCCATGCATGCACCTGCGTGCGTGTGGGAAGGGTTTTCTACAAACGTGCTTTGAATTTAAGGTTAAATAAATAGGTATGGACTACATTAAACTATTTTAAAAGTTTATAGACCTAAAAAGTTATTTTGAAAGTTGATGAACTCAACTGAAACTTTCTCACAAGTTAATAGATCTCTGGTGCATTTAACTCTTCAATCATTAACTGATTAATTTTTTGCATGAACTGTGGCTTTGATGATGGGCTCAAAACGTATGTTAAGTTGTTTTTCGTGCTCAAGCTCTGCTTCTACATATGTCTCTCTCTGTTCTTTGATTACTTGGCAAAATGCCCTACGCATGGCAACTAACGCCTATGATATATACTAGTGCCTCCGTTCTCCAAATATATCAATTTGTAAAATTGCCTTAAGCCAATTGTAGAAAAAACTCAAATATTTGTGGCACAAAGTCAGTATTATTTGATATATCATGAAATATATTTTTATAACGCTACGATTCTTCTTCTGAGATACTTCGGTTTGTAAACATCGTACGTGACAGATTAAGTGAAACCTTCTCAATTTTTTACCATGGCCTCCACGTATAATATCACGTGATCTTGACAAATCTCATGATTTTCAGACTTCGTTTGCTTTTTTTTATAATTTAAAAATCATTCGGCCACATGTTCGTGGTCGTGTTTCCTGAATAAGATATTCAAAATTTCTTTTCATGTCCTGGGTAAGGCCTCACACCGGACTCAATAACATGAATATCATTTTTCTACTCATTTTATTATATTA